AAAAAAACTTAGATTGCTTCTGCCTTTATTGCTGACAGACAGAAACAAAGAGAAGTGGCATCTAGAGGCCTGGGATCCATGATGGACATCTGCCCAGAGTTGTCCTCTCAGAGAGAAAAAGTGCCAAGTATGAAGAAAAGTAACTCGATGATAACACAGTTACTGCCACTGTGCACTTGCTCATTGTGACATAACAATGACACCGAGACTACCGCTAAACCAATCAGTTCTAGAATGGGGAGTGATTCAGGGCCTCACAGCCTTGCTTCAGGCTTCCACTTCATTCATCGGGGGAACACAACCACCAGCTTCACTTTATTCATCCACTCGGGGAATGCCCAGTCCTCATGCTGCTTCACCAGCATCATCTGCCAGAGGAGCGATGTGTCCTGATGATTCTCCAGCATCATCTGCTTGATACCTTCTACCTGCTCCTTCAACTACATGTACTGCAGGACACTGCCTCTACAGCGTCGGCAGTCGCAGGACCGCCCTGTCCTTCAGCTTATCCAGCGTCGCCCGTCACGGGAGCACCCTCTCCTTCGGATTCTCCAGCGTTGGCCGTCGCGGGAGCACCCTCTCCTTCGGATTCTCCAGCGTCGGCAGTCGCGGGAGCGCCCATTCCTTCGGCTTCTCCAGCACTGGCCATCACTGGAGCGCCCTCTCATTATGTTTCCCCAGTGTCGGTCGTCGCGGAAGCGCCCTCTTCTTATGATTCCGCAGCGTCGACCATCGCGGGAGCGCCCTCTCCTTCGGCTTCTCCAGCGTCGCCCGTCGCGGGAGTGCCCTCTCCTTATGTTTCCCCAGCGTCGCCCGTCGCGGGAGCGCCACCCTGTCCTTCGGCTCCTCCAGCGTCGCCCGTCGCGGGAGCACCCTCTCCTTCAGCTTCTCCAGCATCGGCCGTCGCGGTAGCGCCCTCTCCTTCGGCTTCTCCAGCATCGCCCTTCGAGGGAGCGCCCTCTCCTTATGTTTCCCCAGCGTCGGCTGTTGCTGGAGCGCCCTCTCCTTATGTTTCTCCAGCGTCGCCCGTTGCAGGAGCACCCCCACCTTCGTCTTCTCCAGCGTTGCCCGTGGCGGGAGCACCGCCCTGTCATTCGGCTTCTCCAGCGTCGCCCGTCGCGGGAGCGCCACCCCCTCCTTTGGCTTCTCCAGCGTTGCCCGTCACGGGAGCGCCCTCTCCTTATGTTTCTCCAGCATTGGCCGTCGCTGGAGCGCCCTCTCCTTCTATTTCCCCAGTGTCGGCCGTCGCGGGAGCACCCTGTCCTTTGGCTTCTCCAGCGTCACCCGTCGCGGGAGCGCCCTGTCATTCGGCTTCTCCAGCGTCACCCGTCGCGGGAGCGCCCTCTCCTTATGATTCCCCAGCATTGGCCGTCGCGGGAGCGCCCTCTCCTTATGTTTCTCCAGCATTGGCCGTCGCTGGAGCACCCTCTCCTTATGTTTCCCCAGCATCGGCCGTCGTGGGATCACCCTCTCCTTCGGCTTCTCCAGCGTTGCCCGTCGCGGGAGCGCCCTCTCCTTCGGCTTCTCCAGCGTTGCCCGTCGCGGGAGCGCCCTGTCCTTCGGCTTCTCCAGCGTCACCCGTTGCGGGAGCGCCCTCTCCTTATGATTTCCCAGCGTTGGCCGTCGCGGGAGCGCCCTCTCCTTTGGCTTCTCCAGTGTCGCCCGTCGTGGGAGTGCCCTCTCCTTCTGTTTCCCCAGCATCGGCCGTCGTGGGAGCGCCCTCTCCTTATGTTTCTCCAGCGTCGGCCATCGCTGGAGCGCCCTCTCCTTATTTTTCTCCAGCGTCGCCTGTCGCGGGAGCGCCCTCTCCTTCGGCTTCTCCAGCAACATCCGTCGTGGTAGTGCCCTCTTCTACTGCTTCTCCAACATCGACTGTTGTGGGAGAGCCCTCTCCTTATGTTTCTCCATCGTCGTCCGTTGTGGGAGCATGCTCTCCTTCTGCTTCTTCAGCAACATCCGTCGTGGGAGTATCCTCTCCTTCTGCTTCTCCAGCATTGTCTGTCGTGGGAGAGCTCTCTCCTTATGCTTTTCCATCGTCGTCCGTCGTGTGAGCATCCTCTCCTTCTGCTTCTCCAACATTGTCTGCTGTGGGAGAGCTCTCTCCTTATGTTTCTCCATCATTGTCCATTGTGGGAGCATCCTCTCCTTTGGCTTCTCCAGCAACATCCGTCGTGGGAGTATCCTCTCCTTCTGCTTCTCCAGCATCGTCTGTTGTGGGAGAGTACTCTCCTTATGTTTCTCCAGCGTCGCCCGTCGCGGGAGCGCCCTCTCCTTCGGCTTCTCCAGCATCGTCTGTTGTGGGAGAGCCCTCTCATTATGTTTCTCCATCATTGTCCGTCGTTGGAACATCCTCTCCTTCGGCTTCTCCAGAAACATCCGTCGTGGGAGTGCCCTCTTCTACTGCTTCTCCAACATCGACTGTTGTGGGAGAGCCCTCTCCTTATGTTTCTCCATCGTCCCTCTTCTTGGGAGCATCCTCTTCTTCTGTTTCTCCATCGTCCTCCATCTTGGGAGTATCCTCTCCTTCTGCTTCTCCAGCATCGTCTGTCGTGGGAGAGCTCTCTCCTTATGCTTTTCCATCGTCGTCCGTCGTGTGAGCATCCTCTCCTTCTGCTTCTCCAACATCGTCTGCTGTGGGAGAGCTCTCTCCTTATGTTTCTCCATCATTGTCCGTTGTGGGAGCATCCTCTCCTTCGGCTTCTCCAGCAACATCCGTCGTGGGAGTGTCCTCTCCTTCTGCTTCTCCAGCATCGTCTGTTGTGGGAGAGTACTCTCCTTATGTTTCTCCATCGTCGTCCGTCGTGGGAGCATCCTGTCCTTCTGCTTCTCCAGCAACATCCGTCGTGGGAGTGCCCTCTCCTTCTGCTTCTCCAGCATCATCCGTTGTGGAGAGTCCTCTCCTTCTGCTTCTCCAGCATCGTCTGTTGTGGGAGCGTGCTCTCCTTATGTTTCTCCGTTGTCATCCATTGTGGGAGTGTGCTCTTCTGCTTCTCAAGCATCATCCGTCGTGGGAGCATCCTCTCCTTCGGCTTCTCCAGCATTGCCCGTTGCGGGAGCGCCCTCTCCTTCTGCTTCTCAGCATCATCCGTTGTGGAGAGTCCTCTCCTTCTGCTTCTCCAGCATCGTCTGTTATGGGAGCATGCTCTCCTTATGTTTCTCCGTTGTCATCCATTGTGGGAATGTGCTCTTCTTCTGCTTCTCAAGCGTCGCCCGTCACGGGAGCACCCTCTCCTTCGGCTTCGCCAGCTTCACCTGTTGCAGGAGCGCCCTCTCCTTTGGCCTCTCCATCGTCATCCGTCGTGGGAGCATTCTCTCCTTCTGCTTCTCCAGCAACATCCATCGTGGGAGCATCCTCTCCTTCTGCTTCTCCAGCAACATCCATCGTGGGAGTGCCCCCTTCTTCTGCTTCTCCAACATCGTCTGTTGTGGGAGAGCCCTCTCCTTATGTTTCTCCATCGTCGTCCGTTGTGGGAGCATGCTCTCCTTCTGCTTCTTCAGCAACATCCGTCGTGGGAGCATGCTCTCCTTCTGCTTCTTCAGCAACATCCGTTGTGGGAGCATTCTATCCTTCTGCTTCTCCAACATCGTCTGTTGTGGGAGAGTTCTCTCCTTATGTTTCTCCATTGTTGTCCATCGTGGGAGCATGCTCTCCTTATGTTTCTCCATTGTCCGTCATGGGAGCATCCTCTCCTTCTGCTTCTCCAGCAACATCCCTCGTGGGAGTGCCCTCTTCTTCTGCTTCTTCAACACTGTCTGTTGTGGGAGAGCCCTCTCCTTATGTTTCTCCATCGTCGTCCATTGTGGGAGCATGCTCTTCTTATGTTTCTCCATCATTGTCCGTCATGGGATCATCCTCTCCTTCTGCTTCTCCAACATCGTCTGTTGTGGGAGAGCTCTCTCCTTATGTTTCTCCATCGTCGTCCATCGTGGGACCATGCTCTTCTTATGTTTCTCCATCATTGTCCGTCGTGGGAGCATCCTCTCCTTTGGCTTCTCCAGCAAGATCTGTCGTGGGATTGCCCTCTTCTTCTGCTTCTCTAACATTGTCTGTTGTGGGAGAGCCCTCTCCTTATGTTTCTCCATCGTTGTCCGTCATGGGAGCATCCTCTCCTTCTGCTTCTCCAGCAATGTCCATTGTGGGAGTGCCCTCTCCTTCTGCTTCTCCAGCATCATCCGTTGTGGAGAGTCCTCTCCTTCTGCTTCTCCAGCATCGTCCATCGTGGGAGCATGCTCTCCTTATGCTTCTCCATTGTCATCCATTGTGGGAGTGTGCTCTTCTTCTGCTTCTCAAGCATCGTCCGTCGCGGGAGCACCCTCTCCTTATGTTTCTCCACCATCGCCCGTCATGGGAGCGATACCTCACGCTGCTTTTTCAGCTTCATCTGCCATTGGAAGACCACATCCTGCTGGTTCCTCAGCTTTGTTCACTGGGAAAGTTATGTCCCCCGCTGCTTCACCAGCTCCGCCTGTTGTGGGTGCGCCATCTCCTGTGCGGTCTCTAGCATTGTAATTCTAGAGTGCGCCCTGTCTGGCACTGCCTCTAGCATCGTCCTTCTGGTGTATGCCATTTACCGTGTTGCCTTTAGCATTGCCCTTCTGGTGAGTGCCGTTTCCAGCACCGCCACGTGCCTTGTCCTTCTGGTGAACACCGCCTACAGCGTTGCCTTTAGCCTTGTCCTTCAGGTGAGCACTGTCACTGGCGTTGTCACTTGCCTTGTCTTTTTGGTGAGCGCCATCTCCGGCATCACTTTTAACACTGCCCTTCTGGTGAGCACCATCTCTGGCGCTGCCCCTTGCTTCGTTCTCCTGGTGGGGGCCATCAGCAGTGCTGCCAGTCCTGGCAGCACCCTGGGCAGCGTGGCCTGTTTTGGGAGCGCCGTCTCTGTCATTGCCTGTGGCGTCATCCTTCTGGTGAGCGCCGTCTCCAGCACCACCAATAGCATCGTCCTTCTGGTGTACGCCGTCTACAGCATTGCCTTTAGCATTGTCCTTCCACTGAGCGCCATCTCCGGCACTGCCTCTTGCCTTGCCCTTCTGGTGAACCCCGTCTACTATGTTGCCTTTAGCATTGTCCTTCAGGTGAGCGCTGTCTCCTGGTGAGTGGCCATGTTCCCATCAAAATACATTGAAATCACAGGAAGTGCTTACCTATTTAAAAGGATGTTTAAAGAGTAGTCTCAATCCACTTGAGCATACCTGCTTAAAACACTGAAAACAGGACAGGGGCATTATCGATCAGTATGGAGCTGCACTAACTTCTCCTTAAATGCAGGGAAAAAAAGAAGTTTCTGAATTCATAGTGCTGAAAACCTGCATACAATGGAGATAATTTAAAAAATTATAGGGCTCATTGACATGATAATAATACATGAAAGTCAAAGATAGCTTTGTTGCTTTGTCCTTATATATATTATATATATATTTGACTTGTATTATTTATAATCTGGCTACAATACTATGGGAAGAAAGAAGAGATTGGTACAGTTGAGCTCTTTTGCACCACTCCAGAAATGATGAAGAAGAATTAAATGAAAGTAAGTATATCATATACACCTATACCTATGTCATGTTAAGGGCAGCCATGGAAAGAGAGGGGTGTGAGTGAAAATAAGGATCAAGTACATTTTCACATCCATATTTTCATTTGTTACTAAGGAATTTTTGTTGATGACACTTAAGGATTTAATGCCTTCATTCCTTCAGTTGCATACAACCTTGATTCATTTTATTCCAGGGCCCTATCGTTGTGACAGGGCTCTAAATGGGTGTAAATGTAATTTGCTACCAAAACATTGCAAAGTACAACTTCAGTTGGTCCAATAAAATCCCAGTGCTATGCTGCATTGCAGGCAAGTCACAGAGAGACAAAGAAGAGAGGGGATCTGACATAACATTTTTAATGTCCACTGAAATCTGAGCTAATAAAATACAATATGCATTCTCATATGACTACTGTGCAGACTATCTTCAACAGGGATTTAACACAGATTTATACAAACTTTAACTGTGTGTGTTACTTCAACAACTCCTACAGTATAAATTCCTATTTAATAACCTGACTTTATACTTTTTTGGTTTAGCAGTAATGAGATCATAGAATCATGGAATCAATGAATAATAGAATGGTTTGTATTGGAAGGGACTTCTGAGATCATCTAGTTCCAAGCCCCCTGCTATAGGCAGGGACACCTATCTTTAGACCAGGTTGCTCAAAGCTCCATCCAGCCTGGCTTCTAATGCTTCCAGGGAGGAAGCAATCACAACTTATCTGGGAAACCTGTTCCAGTGTCTCACCACCCTCCCAGGAAAGAATGTATTCCTTATTTCTAGTCTAAATCTACTCTCTTCCAGTTTAAAGCCATTTCCTCTTGTTCTGTCTCTACCTGCCCTAATAACAAGTCCCTCTCCAGCTTTTCCATAGGCCCCCTTCAAGAGTTGGAAGGCCACTATCACCTAGGAGCCTTCTCTTCTCCAGGTTGAAGAGCTCTGGCTTTCTCAGCCCATCCTCACAGAGGAGGTGCTCCAGCTCTCTGATAATCTTCGTGACCCTTCTCTGAACCTGCTTCAACAATTCCATGTCCTTCTTGTGTTGGGGGCTTCAGAACTGGATGTGGTACTCCAAATTGTGTCTCACAAGAGCAGAGTAGAGGCGCAGAATCACCTTCATCAGCATTTTGGTCACACTTCTCTTGATGCAACCCAGGATATGGACAGCTCCTGTTTAATCTCTCAACAGACATTCCCAAATTCTTCTCCTGAGGGCTGCTCTCAAGCCATTCTCCACCCCAACCCATATCTATGTTTGAGATTGCCTTGACCCATATGCAGGACCTTGCACTTGGCCTTGTTGAATGTCATGAAGTTGGCACACACCCACCACTCAAGCCTCTCTAGGTCCCATCCTTTACCTCTATGGTGTCAATTACACCACTCAGTTTGGTGTTGTCTGCAAGCCTGCTAAGGGTGCGCTCAATCCCACTGTCCAAGTCACCTATAAAGATGTTAAATTACACTGGTCCCAATACCAATCCATGAGATCAACTCTGCAACACACATATTTCGAGTAATGACATACGCTGTCCAACAAAACATTCTTCAGAATTAGAAATTCATACCCATTGAAATATCTAAGTTTAGATATTGTACTGAAGGACATGGTTTAGTGGGAAATATTGGTGATAGGTAAACAGTTGGACTGGAGGACAATGACCTTAGAGGTCTTTTCTAACGATGGTGATTCTATGATTCTATGAAATTTATACATATAAATCTATATGATGACATTTCATAATACTTACAAGGCTATCGTAGTGTTTGATAGAAAAATATTCAGCTAGGGATACTGATTTACAAGGAGATTTCTCAGTGTAAAATACAAGATACAGTGTAAAATACAGGATACAGGAATCATAATTGCCACATTTGCACCATACAGTAATTGAAGTTGGAATGGACTATTGGAGGCCAGTTCATCTAATGCAGCAGTGGCAAGTTGAAAGTTAAATCCAACTCCTGAGTTAAAGCAGGCCCATTCAAGTGCTGACCTTCGTCAAGGACTGAGATCACAACGCCTCTCTAGACACCAGTTCCAGCGTTTGACCACCTTCGTTGTGTGTTCTGTTTTAATATTATTAGAAAGCAAAAGCCCATCTAGCAACTATCAGAAAGGGTAACTTATTCTATCTCCACTGGGTTAGCAAACTGATTCAACTCATTTTTCAGCATATGTGCAGTGGAAAGTGGCAAGGTCTCACAGTCAGAAGCAGGGGGTTGTAAACTGTGCGCTGGAGCATCTTTTATCATTAGCAACCTGTTAGATGGGCTCAACCAAGACATCTGCCTGTATCTGCTCAAACCCAGCACACCCATATAAACAGGAGCAGACACTGGCACAAGCAGCTTCATTCTTTCCTTACCAGTTACTACAAGCTCTTGATCCTCTGTTGCCTTGTCTTTTTCAGTGGTTCAAGCTTTTGTTCATTCATACAGTGTAAAGCAAATGGGGAACTGAGTTAAAGCCAACTTTTGTTTTGGGGAAGGCTTGAATCATGTCTCCAATGTAACTCGCTACAGAGGTGAGCAATTCCTTGCCCCTGCTGAAGAATGGAGCAGCACAGAGGCAGAGCCTCTTCATTCAGTGACAGACAGCTTTCAGTGTCTGTGCAACTGCATCCTGACCTCCTACTGAAACTGTAAGCAAATACGATTTTTAACATGAATCATCTGTTATAATAACTATTTTCCTTATGCTGTAGCTGACATCACTTAATTGTAACTCCTACTACATCATAACAGATGAATAAACATGCAATTTCTGCAACTTAGTAATTAGACAGGCCCTTCTAACAGGGACTTCTTTTTCCTTTTATATTCTGGAACTCAAATTCATCTACCATTTTTCTAAAAATGACCCACTGACTGGGTCACAGAAGAATCTATCCTTGTATATATTCATCTAAGGAGTTCTCTTAAGCTAACACAGTTGCCAGTAAATGTCTTTGCAAAGCCATGTCCTCTACTTGAAATTCCCCTTCTTAAAAAGTCTTCTGCCCCAGTTGATTTCACAATATCCCATTTATATATTAAACGATCGTGAAGATGCACACTCTTCAGTGCATGTTTCTGGAACATCATTTGGTCAGTGGTTTGAAGCAATTTTTTTTAATGACTGAAGAGTAAACAAGCCAAATCTATATCTGGGGTAAGTGGATGAAACTTGGAGTAAGTCATGAGAAGTCTATGGCAGATCTAAACACAGAAAACAAAGTGTTTGATTTGCAGCCCTGTGCTTTACTCTCTTTAATTTTTCTTCCTTTCTTTTTGCAGGCTGAACATAAACTAAGGGATTAAATATTTTTAATATGTTAATAATTTTTCCCTCAGCTACAAGAACAAGTGGCAAACTGCACTGAAGCAGAAATGTTCTTGAGAGATTGTCAACAGCCCAGACACCTGAACCCATATCTAACACACAGAAGCCAATGAGTTCCTGTGCATATGAAGAGCAGTCAAGAGGCAGTATAAAAATAAACAAGCAGTCCTTCACCTCACCTCCACCTCAGATTTTTGAAATCAGATTGCTACTACAATAGGCATATTCTAACCTTGCCTCCTAGGAAAAAAAAAAAAAAAGAGACACTGAAATTTTTACATGCTTATTTTCCATGTAACCTGATCTTTTCACCCACCCTTCTTGACAAACTCTGCTGTCTGTTGTTGACAATTGGGATAATACCAGACTGACAATTTTCTGACCACAACATTTGACAAGACAGGAAACTCATCAGAGTTAAGTCTTTTTTTTCCCTGAATGTTTTTACCGTGAGGTCAAAATAATGATGTTATGGATGTTATCCACTTAAAGGTTTATATGAACAAAAGCTTCTAAATGAAGGTCATTGTGGTGCTCATGCCTTTCTTTCCCACACTAATGACAAGCAATAATTAAATCAGGTTGGGTTTTTTTTCCTCTTTATGAATTCAAGAGTTTTTCTTTATTTACCTCACAGTTTTGCCTATCTTTTTCCTTTTTGATATAAGGCTCTTTTTATCTATTAAGAACATTTTAATGATTCCACACAGGACAAATCTGCATTTTTCAAAGGCAGTTGAATAACAATATCGTTTAGCTTGAGTATTACTGCATCACACAAAATGCAACTGGGAAATAGAGATAACATAAAGAGCAGTCCATCAAATCCACAAGGCTTTGAATATCAGCTAGTCTCAGGAATTGTGAAAGGTAGGCAGAAACTACAATATAGATTAGGAAAAATGGTGAAAACTCAAAAACTGCCAGAAAATTTCCTCTTCTTTTCACATCATAAAAATAAAACTATGCAAAATTGGCATTCAATCCCACAGATTATTATTTACTTTCTATGTTCAAACTTTGAAATGAATTTCCTCATTGTGAGCTTACTTCATTATGTTGTCAGTTCAGTAACTGTGTATTTCATGTTTTAATATTGACCCAGATTACATTTCACATATCACAACTTTAAAGCATTTTACGGGTGCTGTTCTTTTTCATTAGATCCTTAGCACTGTTACAAATAGTAAGGAAAAAAAAAAGTCTAAAATGTATTTAAGGTAGAAAATTTACTATAATGATCTATCGTGTGTTGAAGTAGTTAAAAGGAAGGATATGTATAGTCAAAGACCTCATACATTTTATGTTGCCTTCATAATAAACACAAATACATTTTAGTTCTGATTCATCATTGGTCACGAACAAAACATGAACATATGAAGCTACACTTCAGATAATATAAATTGACATAGCTACTTAAATGCTGGTTGAGCAATGATGATTTGTACCATCTGTGCTTACAGCCCATTACAAGCTGATTTCAATACCAGTACTCCAGCCTACAGACAAGAGACTATCAGTGAGTAAGAGTTAAAGAAACAAGGTGAGAGGAGTGATTATTATGATGATTATCTTCATTTTTGGAATGTGATTTTTTTATTATTATTTTTGTAATTTATCCATTTATTTTGGTGATTTGCTGTTTTTACATATTTTCTCATTAGACATGCAGAAAAGTAAAAAATGTTACTAGTTAGGTTTCTTAGTTGTTGTAGATTTGTCCGAACTTGCTGTTTCTGGAAAACAGTATTTCATTATTCTGTTTCTTGATGACAATGTTATTATGCTCTTTTTCTGTAAACAGTATTTATTATGATCTCCAATTTCAAATGCATTTTCAACATGTAATCTTATTTCACACAGAAATAATCACAGAAATAGCATCAAAACAGCAACCCTTTTTCTTTGTATAAGATTATTAGGATCAATCAATATTCCCTAAGCTTTATAAAGCCTGTCTATAGAATCAGAAATTATTATCTATCTCATAGCTTTTTTAGTTGTTTTATTTTTTCCGTGGTCTCAGATTGCAAACTAAGCCAATGAACTTCTGTCGAAGTTCTTGATTTTACTAAATGTGTATGCTCAGGAAAATAAAAAAGCTACTCTTCCTTTGAGAGATGTAAAAGAGGAGAGGGAGAAGGATGAATCAGTTGTTAGATTTGGAATTGAAGAAAACTTTATTTACTTCTCCAATCTGCAACTGGCTTGTTATATTACCACACTGTAAGGTAATTTATCTCAGTTACTCATTCTTGTAACCATAAAACATGGTATAACGACACTCCTCTGTTCTTCAGAAGGCTTACAAAAAATGAAGAGTGTTCAGAAACTATAAAGATAGGAATCATGTAAAATCCAATAGGGTAATGGATATAAGATATTTTGGTAAGGCAATAAGGGAAAGCATGCAGCTGATACTGACAACTCCAGTTTTTTCTGCCACTGTACTTTCTGTAGTTCCTGTAATTTTCCTTTCTTTTTCTCTCCCTCAATATTTCTGCCACTGTCCTGCAAACAGCAGGTATATTGCTCTGTCTTATCATAGAGACCAGCTCAAAACTATGCATCTCTTTTGAGCCTGGAGCTCTTCACTTGCATACAAACTCCAGCTTCTTTGACATGTTCTGACTCAGGCAGTCTTGGAGAAGCTACAGGGAAGCAGAAGTATGAAAACTACCCATAGCAACAGAGCAGTGAGGCTGCTCTTTCTTGAGATCCTCTGGAGGGGTGAAGTTTCTGAAGGTCTTATGCACACGTGGAAGAGAAAAATGGGGAGATGCAAATTGTTTCAACTCACTATTTTCCTCTAAGCAAGGCAACTCTGCACTCTATGTTTTTGATGCCCACGTTTTTCACTGCTCAAATTCCTCTTCCCTAGTTCTGTGGTCTCCAACTGATCACTTTGCAAACTCTCCTCTCTGTTGTTCTTTTCCTTACCCTCACTCCCACATCTTCTATTTCTAATGGTTGCCATTCTCCTAATCCTCACTCCCATTGCTGCTCTCACACAAATCTGCAGCTGCCATACCCTGTTCTGTATGCCAACAGAACTAGTGGTAGCTAAAAATGCTATGAATGTTTCAACGTAGGTATGTCGGCAACCCTTCTATTTTTAGATACCCTGAAGAGCTGTCTGTAGCAGATATGTCTGGTATAGCAGTCTGCTCTGAAAGCAGATAAGACCAAACTACCCAATGTCTCTGAAGCTGTCCATAAAAAGGTCATCACCTCACTTCCCATCTGCTGACTTGGGTTTCCCCTAACCCATTTCAGCCAAAACAAACCAGTTCAGCTGACACCAACTATTTAAAGTGCTTAAGCTACTCTGGATGACTTTGGCTGCAACAAGTTTGGGAGCAGGTTGCATGAGTAGCTTGCAACTAGGTGAGGTGGTAACCTTTAGCAGAAAATGGCTGTGACAGCTGCCATTGGGCAGCTGGCTGGGGATAGTAACCTCTTCAGCAGCCTCAGCCTGTGGGGGAAATGAGGGCCCATGCAGGGACCTTAAAGCGTGGTAAATTCTGTGCTTAAAATTTGATTCTCACTTATTTCACAAGAGGTGCCTCTGGGTAGCCACTCCTTTCTACTGTGCAGAAAACATGATGACGTTATTCAGACCGTCAATCCTCTTTCCCATGTTTAATCACTGATAACTGATTAACCAAGTGAATTGCCACAAAACAAAAACAGCAAAAGTATTAGATGGAAAAGGGACAAGAAGTCAGGCATGCTGGCTTGTACACATAAATAAATAAAAAGCTTTATAAACAAGGTGCATAACCTCCAGTTCTCAAAAGTAGACATCCATTTTCCCCCTCTGTTCCACAAACAACAGGGGCAGCATGCAGCAGTGTCATTCTTGACAGAAGCCAAATATGAACTGTAGGACATTGGGGAGTGTCAAAGTTCAAAAGCTGTTATACAGTCTGTTGGATAGCCACTGTCATATCTTTTGCCCTTGTTTCACCTCATGCTGACACTTCAAGTCTTTTTACCTTCTGAGCCTGATAAATGGACACTAGAAATTACATTAACTCTTTCATCACTGCTTTGCCAAAAAAAAAGAGAATGCGTGTTAAGGCAAAAAAATACATATATATTGTCAGACACTTAGTAAAACTTTGGAAAGCTGGGGAGGGAATGTCAGACAGGCAGTCTCACTCACAGATGGTTCAGGTGTGCATCTCTGATTGTTTATGGAACTACAGCCTGATCTGTGGTTTGTGAATGCATTTCAATTCCTTTCCAGGAGCCTGCTGGGCAAGTAGTTAAGGGGAAAGAAAAAATTTCAATAAAAAAAAAAATCTAGGCTGAAGTTAGACCAATATTCAGATGAATTACTGCTCTTACATGAGTGACCACCTGCTGGCTGAGGCATGCTAACTGCCAGCATGTGCATGTTTAGCCTGCTGCAGAGATGAGGGAAAGAGTATGGCCCTTAACAAAGCAAGGGCAGATGCTGATGTGTTTGAGCCTGCCAGACTACTTGTTTGTGTGCTACCTCAGCCTGCAAAAATTAACTGTAATGTAACAGTGGTTCAGTTGCATCTCTTAGGAATATTAGGAAAAGAAATCCTGACTCTGTGTTGGAAAAGCTTTACCTTGCTGTCCAAGGTTTTTCTGTAAACATCCTTTTTAAGCTACAAATTAAATATTCCAAAAGTCCACAAGTCCTTTTTCTGCTTACTGTTTTACAATCAGGAAACTTTTTCAGTTTCCCCATTAAGAACTCCATATATATAACACGTGACCAGGTTCAGATGATAAAAGGGAAGAGAGAATTCAAACATCTTTCCTCCTCAGCACACAACCCTTTCTGGTGCCACTGCTATTTATGAGGATAACGATACTGGAACTACTTGTTCTTGCACTCCTCTGTCTGAATGAGCTGGGTCACTGGCTCTCGCCTAGAGTTTCCCTGGCACATTCCCATCTCTCCTTCATAGAAACGGGTCACTTGTAGATTCTTCAGCCACTAGTTACTGTGCGGGGGGCTACAAAAGGAATCTTTTGGGCTACTGGTTACTTGAGGCAAGAAGGCAAAGATCTGTTGAGCTTCTTCAAAATAAATCCATAGAAAATAGTAAATACATCTATGCAAATTGCTTTGCCACAACTTCTTCATTGCCTCTGATCTTTCTTTGATAAGTGTCTTATGCAGATAGGGCTTCACTATGGACTTGTCTCTCTTCCACACGTTCTGCACTCTTTTGGAGAGAATACTGCTGTTCAGTATGACTGCTAAAGAGAGTTCCTCTTGAGAGATAGCTCAAAACATCTTAATGCCAGGCCCTTGTCAAGGCGGTTTTCAGTCAGTTCTTTCAGGACGAGAACAACCAGAACATAATTTATTTGGAACAATTCAAAATACCAACCACACAAAACATTTTCCTGTGAGTGATAAGCATTTGTCTTTCCAAAAGTACTTCATTTGAAGAGACAGCCCCTGGAGCATAAGAATCTGTGAATTAATCTTCTTCCTCTTGATATCTTCCAAGAGTTTGTGGCATAGGGATGCAAAAGACTAACCAGAGCTTGAATTCTAAAGTGTAAGGTGTCCTACATACCCAGCAGAACTGACAGGTGATTGTGATTAAGGTTGAGATATCTCCAGGTGTGGGAGGCCTGCAGAACACTGGGTAGGACAGAGATCATCCAGCAGACCCCTGAAGGATGTAAGAGTAGTTTGTCAGCTAGTAGTAGCCAGAATGTAAACACTAGACAAAACAATTGTTTCTGTGTATCTTAGCTTAGACTTAATGTTCACTTTCCTCATGCTATTGGTTTCAGTGGTGTTTTTTTTTTAAACTTGAAGGTTACTTAAAGGGTGAAAGTCCTTAGCATGCCATGGAGCCAACAGTACACAGCAAGCTACCCTACAGCAGAACGACCTAAAGTCCTACTTAACTATGCTATCACACACAGCTTTACTTCTGGGGAGATGAAAACAGTCACCTGAAGCACCTCTGGCCAAGGAGGAAGGTGGCACCAGAGACCCCTCAGCCAGCGGGATTGTGCTTTGCGCAGCACCAGAGCCACAATGGCACAGTCCACTCTCTGAGTGCAGTCTTGGCTTGTGTCCATCTCCACCACAGGCTCGGGCCCAGAGAGGCCACGGGACCTCTCGGGACTGGCACAGGGCCAGGGGCGCTGGAACACGAATCCATCCCTTCCCTCCCTGCCTCGGCGACCGAGCGGAGATCGCTGCGGCCCGGTCCGCAGAGCACAGACTGTATACAGAAAGGGACGGAACCGAGCGGCGCGGATGAAACGCTTCCATCCCGGTACAGCAGGGCGGGAGCGGCAGCGCGTTTGAATCGCTCGGCGGCCCTGGCTCCTCCCAAGGGGCCGACCCGGGCAGCTCGAAGGGGAGCTCGAAGCGGAGGTCTTGTGCCGTTGCGGTCCTCTCAGCGCTGGTTAGGCTTCACGGCAGGACTGTAGCCGGAGCTCCCCGGTCCGTGTGCGGCCACGCAGCGAAGCCCGCTGTGCGCGGCCGCGGCTGTCCGAGCTCCTGGCGAAGCTCCGCTCTCCCTCTTCGCCTCCCTCCCTCCCCTTCCTCCCCCCCTCGGCTGAGTTCATTCACTGGGATTGGTTTCAAGTGACGCCATCGCTTTATTTTTACACCGATGACCTCATCCCAGCAGCCTGAAGTTTACTGACCAGCAAAACTCGCTGTCTTTCCCTTCCTCATTCTCCTTCTCCCTGTTTGCTCTACCCGTTTATTAGTAATTGTTCGGTTCCTTTTGGGAACTGAAGACTGAAAAAATAAATAACTAAAAACGTCCAAACTTCCTCCCCCACCGTCCCTTTTTAATTCTCTCAAGCCATCCAGGGAGGGAGGAAGAAGGGGGGGGGGAAAGCTCCCAGTATTTCCTTTTTCTCCCCTCCTACCTTCACACTTCCCCCTCCTAACGAGACCATTTACTTCTATTAATACATTTATTTTTAATTTCTCCCTTACTTTTTGCATGGAAGAAGGATGAATTTTGTATGAAAGAGGCGCTTCCCCAGCGTCTAGAAGGAGACAGAAAGTTGTTTTCTGGCGGCAGAGCGGTGAGAGGCCGGTACCAGCTCTCATCCCTGCCGCGGGGAGAGACCCGGGCCAGGCAGTCAGACAGACGGGAGCGGGGGGAGGTGCCACAGTAAGTGCCGGCAGAGGCCGCCGCCGGGACCTCGCCTGGGCCGGGGCTGGGGGCCGGGCTGGGCGGGGAAGAGGAGGAGGAGGAGGAGGAGGGAGGTGAGGGACGGCTCCCGCCGCCCGTCCTCCTCTGCCATGCCCTTCCTCGCCGCCCCCTCACCTCCGTAGGAGATTCTGCAGCCGGCAGGTCGCTGCCCTGCACCGGCAGCTCTGACCGCCTCCTCCCGGTAAGGAGAGGGGCTGAGAGGGAGCGGGGGGCGGCAGCTCTTCCCGGCCTGCGCAGCGCACCGCCCTGCTCACCTCCGAGAGGGGCACCGGCCACCTGCCTGCAGCGGGGCCGGGGGAGGCCGGCGGCCTCGGAGCGGAGAGGGCCGCGTAGGGCTGCGTGAGGGACCGCTGCCTTCCGCAGGGCTTTGCGGAGGGCGTCCGGGCGGCGCGTCGAAGAGCCTCGGTGCGCGCGGCCGCGTTTCGGAGCTCAGCGAGCAGTGCTGGCTCCGAAGACGAGTTTCGCCGCTCACAGAGGTCGAGGATGCTTTTACAGCCTCGCGGGACTCCCAGAGAAATTGGAAGTTCTAAACCGAACTTGGGAAACATTTAAATTGAGTCGGTTGACAAAATGGAGGGCTGCTGTGGAATCAAAGAGTGAGGCAAATTGTTAACCTGACAGCGCGGTCACATAAACCCGCAGCTCTGTGACCGGTGCTAGGACACTGCCCGACAAATACCGCCCTCGGATCTTATTTTACTTCTTTTGTACAAGTCCTGCGGGGAGAACAAGAGCTGGGTGCACATCAGCGTGTGCAGAACAAGGTGTATCGGACGTGCCTGTGGCAAAGCCTGACCGGCGGTAGAATTTTTCAGCGTCCAGATACATTTTGTTAGATGTCAAGTAGAAGGGTGTTTTTGAGAAAGCAAAACCAAGGAAGATTGAGGTTACTGTTGTTACAGTTGGTTGAAATAATACTCGATCTTTTGGTTTTCCTTCAAACAGAGGGTGTAGTCGTAGTAAGCTGTATTGTCTGACCTATGGCTTTTTTTTTTTTTGTTCAAACATTCTGTGTATACCCAGCAGAATAAATAGATCTGTCTGCACTTTTTAAACTAAAAGTAGTTTGAAATATTCCTTCTAAGAATGTGCTTGGAGTAGGGGAGGGGGCTCTTTCTGTAACCTTAAAAAAAAAACCTCCAAAACACCAGAATGATTTTGTATTTGTTGCTTTAAGTTTTATGCTATTCCTGGCAGCATGTGGCTCAGTAGATGGAGAACTTACGAAGTCACAACTGACCAAACGGGACTTGGTTTAGACTCTTGTGTTTTGAGGGAAGGTGGAAAAATAATAAGTCTTAATTTCTTTTTTATGATGTTCATCTTGCTGCCCGTTGGAAATTGAAGCATTGATCACGGTTGTTGGTTATGTTAGTTGCCTGGGGGTTTCTATTTGAATGTGGAGGAAGTATGCAACAGGATGGTTGTGTATTTTTAGCTTTAGTTTTGAATCACTAAAGATATAAAGGATAGTGATATTCAAAAGTACATTATGTAGTTACTGAGTATGCTTCTTAATACTGTTAGGAGTGAATCTAAAAAAAAGTTTGAGGTGTTATAAATCCTGGTCATTATACTTGTTTAATGCAGTAGTGCTTCAGTATATCTTGATACACAGTTTCTGTGCCCCTTCTTAATGAATAAATAAGGAAAAGCAGCAGAGAAGGTGTTGGTTCTTGTGCTAATTAGAGGTGGAAGTCACAAATGCTGTATGGTTTAATACACGTGTGAAGGTCCACAAAGTCCTACCAAGCATTAAAAATCTCATCCTATGTTGTGTATAGATACATAAATACATCCCTGCTCCCATTGGTTTTGTTTTGTTAGCTACCTGTTACCTAAGCAGATAGGATGAAAGAGAATCAGTTTTAGTCACACCAGAACAACCTTTGTAGGAGAGAATGAGCTCAAGTTATTTTTGTTCTGTTTCTGTAAAATGTATGCTCTTCTTTTAGTGAAGTCAGCTAGCCTGGCAGGGATGTTTCTTTTAGCTAGAATAGCTTCAGTTGACCATAGGAAGGGTCATGGCTGTTTAGGAATGTGTTAATAAATAGATTTCTCCAGAAGCTCCATTTGCCTAGCCAGCACTCTCAAGATACTCTCAAGTACATAATAGTCACCAGCTATGGCTGGAGTCATAGGTACGTCTCCATGTGCCCTGCTCCTTTTTGGCTAGGTGGCCCTGTGCCTGCCTCTTCATGGCCAAAAGCTGCCAGTGTAGGGGAATGATTCTGTAGAGAAATGCTGGAGACTGCATAGTGGGAACTGATATGCTGCACTGCTGTCTTCAAGAACAGTATGAGAGCTGCTCTGAAAGTGATGCCTCCTATTTTATTATGTTGTCCCATGATGTTGGAGGTGGATGTTGGTGGTATGGCAGCAGGGGCTGAACTTTCCCATCAGTATTCTCCTATGTTTTGTTGTGGTGTGACAAATGGCAGCAAAGGGGCTATCTGACAAAATGGTGTCAGAGATGGAAATGCACATGAAGCCAAGGTGGGTCATTAAAGTACACCATGTGGAAAAAATGGCACCCATTGACTGCATTGATGCTTGCTGGAAACTGAACAGTGGATGTCAGCGAGCTGGTGGGTGCTGCATTTTAACAGTGGCACAATGACCATGGGTCATCTCTGCTGGTGTAGAGTTTTACGAGCATGGCATGCAGGCTCTTGTTCATCACTGGTGAAAATGGATAGCTAATGGTGGTGGCTATATTGAAAAATAGTGTCTCGTAGCTGAGATTTTGCTCTATCAAATAGTGTTACTGTGCTCTTCATATTTGTTGTAGTCTACATAGAAATAAATAGAAGGCATTAGTTTCAGAGCAAACTACTATAAGGGATCAGGTAGGCTTGATGGAGCCATTGGAAGGCAAACACAGGCTGTGTGCTAGTTCTCTTGAGAAATGGTGTACTGGCAAATGAGTCACTGATTTTTGCTACTTGCACTGATCTTCAGGAGGGCTCCATTCTCACATGTTGTGCAGCAAGAGCATTTTGCAGGGTGAGTGCCTTGCTTGGTCACATACAGTTTCTCAAAGTTCATCTCCTTTCTCCCTGAGCCAATTCAAAACTAGCTAAAGTGTTTGCAAAACAACAAATTTTCCAAGAAATGCTGTAGATACTCTCAAAGCACTTTTTCTTCAAGAAAACCAAGTCATGATGACAGCTTTTATTTGCCTGTTGAATTTTCTAGGGCTATTTTTCTCCTTTCATGTAAAAACGGTCAGGAAAGCATCATGGTCATTCTTGACATGCTGACCATCTTTAATAGCCAGATGGTACAGAGTAGGTAAGTCAAAGGCCAAGTGGTGGAAGGAGGGGATTTGCCAGTCCATTTTTCTTCTTTTTAAATTTTTTTTTAAATATTTTCTTTTGTTTAACTTACTGGAATAATATGGGTTTCTATTTTTCTAATTATTTTCTCATCTTAACAATAAATTCCATGCAGTCTTGTATAATTTTGCCTGTGACTCTTTAACAGTATTCCTATGCTTTGTTTAAGAAGTGTTATCAAGAAGCTGGTTTTCTAGGTAATAGAGAAGTATCCCTGGTGCATCAAGTGATACATCCTCTCCCTGTGATTCCTCATGGATTTCTTCCAGGCTTAGTGTAGCAATGTGGCGTTTCTGTAGAATATTTTAAATACCAGCAACTGCATATCAGTGTTCTAAATACCAATGTCAGTAATATTTTTGTGATTTACTTGGTGTCTCTCTTTGTAAACCAAGGGTAACACAGCACTCATAGGACAGTGGGTTGCCTGTACACGTGGTCTCTGCTTTCTGAACATGTCAAAAGGCATGAATGATAGGTGGCCTGGCAGCGTGCACCAAGGCTGAGCTAAGGCCAGTGTTACTGAAGACCAGAAGTCCTTCACGTGAGGGAGAAGTGAGCAATGCAATTTCAGACTGCTTTCTAGAGGTTGCCCCAGAGACCCTATCCTCAGATACGAGTGCATTGTTTTTTTTCTCTTGTATCACTAGTAGGATAACATCACTGCCCTGCTGTGAAAGCTACGTGAGATGGAACTGTCTCTGGAGGCTGAGGAGGCAAGGCTTTAAGTGGAGATGCCTGAACTCATACAGAGTTGCTTCTGGTCAAAGGATGCCAGCAGAACAGGAACATTCATGTTACTGCTACTCTCCTTGGCTTTATCACATATTTAGATTGGTTCTCACTTGGTAGCTCCAAATAAGAAATTTCCGTTATAGTTGCTCTGTAGCTTTCTGTAACACCTGAAAGAAGCCAAAAACACACATTAATGGGAACGTTTGGCATCTTAACTTCTAGGTTTGTGTAGTTTTAATAAAGCACTTCTTGGTTTACTTATGTACAGGGCCCGTTGGCAGCTATCATGATCTTCAGTAGAGATTATGTTGATCACATGTAAATTACAATTGCTCAGTGATCAAAGAAAATCTGAATCTGGGGTGTGTGTACAGAGGGCAGGAGGGAACACAGGCATGAATTCAAGGCCTCGCACTTCCTTTCACTGCTCTATGTGGTCTGCTGCTGAGCCAAGGCTGACCTACTCAGAGTTGGCTTTGAGAAGACTGGCGTCTTTCCATTTTGTGTCCCTATGAAATGCTTCTGCAGACTAAAGAAAAAAAACAAAACTGAATCACTGGGCAAGCTAGGGAAGAGGGAAGAGAGTGGTTCCTCAGTGACAGGCTGCCCAGGTTCTTTCAGGGATGTGAAAGAACCTGGTCTGAGACAAACTTGCCCAAGATCATGCATTGTGGCTGCTCTGTTCGTGCATGGTGTGAGGCTGTAACACTGTGCTGCGTTGATGTACCAAAGGAACTGCTGAAACAAGGTCCTTCAGAGGGAGGAAGTTGGTTATCTCTGATTCTTATTTGTCACAATATGAGCCATGTACAGGCAGCATGCAGCTTCTCCGTGGTTTGTTCTTTTAACTGATTTTGCCCTATGTAGTACAAGTTCTCAGAAACTGAGATCAGTTCTTGCACAGACCTCCTCGGATGAGTTTATACTCTCATTTTTTTTCTTAAGCTTCAGCTTAAAACTTCTATAAGTTGTTCAGCAAATAAGATGCACAAGTGGAAGTGTTCATTATTTCCGAATACACATAATCTTTCTTTTGTATGATTTCCTTACATGCTGCTATGAGTGGTAACCTGCTTCAAGGGTGAAAATTTTCTAATTTTCTTCACTGAATGGTAGCTGTTCTGTTACAGTTTTTCAACAGAAAATCATGATAACAGATTTCCAATATTGAGACTAAAATAGTGTCATTTTTCATTTTCATAAACTTCCTGTGATTTTGCTTTACTAGAATAATCTATGAAATAAGCCTGTCGGACCAAATTACAGGCTTGTGGTTTGTGCAAATGCTCTTTTTTTAGGCATCCTTACCAGCTTGTCTTAATGTCTTTGTCTTACTAAAGGCATGTGGGAGGCAAGAAGATGGGTCTGAATGTGTAATGTAGCAACATTGGAATGAGAAATTTACAGAGAGCATAAAATGAGGTGGACAACAGAGACTAATTGTATTGAAATTCCTTTTATGCACATGTTCTTGAGTTTGAATAACTAGTTCAGCCTACCAGATTAGAAGTCTTTGGCTCTGTATGTATAACAGAGATGTTTCTCTCAAAATAGGAGAGCTAGTCTCTCTCCCCCAAGAGTATTCCAGATGAAACTGATTCATTACTGCATTTTGCTCATATCGGGCTCCTAGTAAAGCATGTTTGAAGGCTGAATAATTCATGATGTTAGAGGTATAAACACCACACTTTTAATAGCCCAGGTGGTGTTTTTGCTTCTTGATTGCTTGTATGAGTAAGAATCATTCACTCTAGTCTTTAAAGATACAAATGCCATGTCAGGACTTGGGTTTCTACCCACAAGAGGTTCTTACAAGTGAATTACTTTCTTGATAGTGTGTATTTCACTAGGCCTTATGAGGTCCTTTAAGTATGGTAGTTATCCATCTTCTAAACACTCGCTTCCAAATACGTCCAAAGATACTGATAGGTTCTCACAGCTTGCCATCCGCCTTAATTTCAAACACTGAGAACATATTTGTCATTGAAATGGGTAGGAGGTTGTTTTTCAGTCACTGTATTAATGCTATCTGGAGTAAGTATAGCACCTATCACCCTTACGGTTCCTGCAAGTATTTGGTTACGGGTGAGAACGTGCCTTTAAGTGTTAGGATTTCATACCTTCTTTCTTCAAAAATGTTGCTTGGGCATAGTGTTTTCTCTTGCGTTTTAGAATCTAGACTCAGAAGACCAGGAGGAAAGAGATCTGGAATGGGAAAAAGCACTCTGATAAGTCTCTCTTGTAACCCCACTGTTCTTAGAAGTGCCTTTCTGAAATAAGAGCAAGCAGCATATGAACTTCATCTTGGTCTTAACAGGGATTTATAAAGCTGTGCTAGTTTTTGAGCAATTAATTAAAATCTTCCAGGAAAAAAGTATGGTGTTCACCGTAGTGCATCGGACTATTACTAGTTCAAACAAGTCTGTTAAAATGAATCTTGATTAGGGGACAAATGGTGTCACCACTTTCAGTAGGCCTCCTCTCCCAGACCCTTGGATACAAGAAGGATGTGCTCCAAATCAAGGACAGGCTGTGAAAGTGTCTCTTTCCATAGTCTATTCAGAGCTCTTTACTGATGGCAACTCTCTTCTCATAGTGGCAGAACCAAGTAAGTTCTTCCATTTGTACCAAACTAATCCTGCACCATTTCAGTTTCTTAGGACCTTGCAAGTTCTATGTGGAGTTCTCGGAGGTCTTATTGGAGAGATATAATCAACAATAATTGGTCCCTAGGTTCATGACCTCATGTTTCAGAAAGACACATCAGCTGAAGGCAAACAGGTAATCTTGATGAGGGCTGATGAGTTCTGCATTCCTCTAGATGGGGCATCCCTTGCCACTATGTTTCTTACTATTGCCTTTTTTTTTCTTCCCTTGCATGTAACTTTTCATCTGAATATGTATATTTATGCATTTTTTTAGTCTCTTCTTGTCAGTGGAGTGAGCTGCCCTGCTCAACCCTTTTCAACCCTTCTGTGGCATCACTGCTGAAGATCCCGCCCCTTTTCATGGATGACACGTTGACAGCATGCTGTCAGCCTACCAGTTCTCTATTTTGCTTGTTAGGTAATCTGTGCTTAGATGCTGCCTAGTTGATGCAGCCTGTTTCCTCACTATAGTTTATTTAGCATGTTTGCTGTGATTTCCAGGTGGACATACTTGAAGATGTCTGAAAAAAATCTCTTCATCCAGCCCAGACATGATTATATGAGTAGTCTTTTTTCTTGCCTGTTTCATAGAATATAGCTGAAAGAAAGTTAACTTCTTCAAGCATAAAATGGATGAGAAAGAATAGTAATACAAATAGCAAGCAAATCTCTGAGATACCAATCAGGACAGCAAAAAAAGCATATCAATTAACCTGCATTGTTGCAAGCCAGGGTACTCTTCTCTTGACAAGAACACATCTTTCTGCCCCTCAGTTATATAGGACTGGAGTCTTTTTTCCTGGCTGAGACTGGTGTGACTTGCCAGCTCACCTGCAGGTGTGACCTATGCTGGAACGAGGAAGCGTGCAGTATAATTCTGCCTAATGTATGGTTAAATTGATAGAAAAACACTGAGGAGGCTTAGACATTCTATTCCTCTGACAGCCTTCTACAAATGCAAGCTATTAATGACCATTGCCTTTAATGGACAAAAACAGTACTGGCAATTCCTTTGTGCTCTTTATTTAATGGCGTAACAAGCAAGCACATTAGCTATTTTTATTCATACAGCCAGACATAGGCCTGTATGGCAGAGCGGCTATGAAATGTCTGCATAGCTAAGTGGGAACACATCTGCTGTTGAGAACTAAATCTTTTTCTTTTAGTTACGGTATTTTGAGAGAGTTCCACTAGCGATCGTCTGATCTCTCTATTTGAGCTGTGGTGTAGATTTTCAAGATTTTGCATTAAAATAGGCAGAACATTCTTTTCAGTCCCTGACTTCGTCAACTGTTTCAGTCAACAATGAAGATGTAATGCAATCAGAGATGTGGGTGGTGAAGGGAGAGCCTGCGCAGGTTAAAGGTTCGGTTCTTGTCCTTTCAGGAAACTTCTGGACTATCTGTTCTGACGTGCTGCTTAGTGACAGGCGCACAGAAGGAGCCGAGTACAGTGACGCTGTTAGCAAGTGCTAGTTTAGAGAGATGCAGTGTTTACTTGGGGGGTTTTTAAATGCTGCTGAGTCCTGCAATTATGTTTTCATTGTTTCATTTTTTTTTCTCCTTTTCCTTTATCTATCTACTTTAGCAGAAAAATGTCTTCCATGGCTTGACAGTTACTGTGAAAAAATCAAGGTTCCTGATAATTTAAGTCTGAATATTTCAAAGCCGAGAGTAGGTTATGGATTGACTTGGGGGTAGAGGAAGGTGAAGCCAAGCAGTTCTTATTTTCTTGAGGTGTGTGCAAGCTGACCAAATAGTAACCTCTGTACTGATGTGATCATACAAAACAAAAAACTTCATGCCTGTGGCAGGTGTTAGAGGTGCTAAGGAAAGAAAAAGAAAAAAAAACAACAACATTAAATAAATAGATTGATAGATACTACACTTTCCACGGTTAGGAATTTGTCTGACACTGGAGTAGATACCTTGTTGTCACGCATTTTTGCATATCTTTACTTAATCAAGTTATAAAGCATGCTTACAAAAATCTTGTTTATATCCACCAAGTTAAGATGTTTTTACTGAGTGCTCAATGTTTGTTCCCGGTGATAGTTTTACTTCTTGGTACAACCAAACATTTTTCTTAGTTATTTTCTTAGTTATCACTTATCTACCTGTTCTGTTGTTTTTTTTTTTTTCTGTCTGTATTGTCAAAGCATGCATGTGTAACTTCCTCCTTGAAAGGTCTCTCTCTTTTTCAGATGTCAGTTGTTACACCACAAAGCTCAGCTGGAGAAGTGTACCTGCTGCTATAAAATAGCATTACTGTTTTGAAGGGGTGGAATGGGACACTTGTTGCATAGATCATCTGCTTTGTGATGTTAAGGTAATGTAATTAAACACCACCATATAACCACCTCTCTCAGCTTCACTACAAGCAGTAAAATAGGCTGATTTATGTTTAAACTTTTAATTCAAAATGGAGTAACATCTGATGTATGCAGACAGAGCTGGGACCCTTCTGCTTCTATTGAAAATGCCGTTGAATTGCATTAGAGAAAAAAATATTCAGGCTTAACATTTTTTGGTGCTGAAGTTTGAAGCAGTACGTTGAGTTGCAATATCTCTGTGGTACCAGCATTACTGTCACTGGTAATATTAGAGAAAGGAGACATGCATATGGAACAGGGAATAATGGAAAAGAAGATATTGATCATATACTGGAAAAAAATGCACCACAGGGGCTAATAAAGGAAAAAATGAAGAAAATAGAGGCAACAGAGATGAAAATCGTTATTAAAAAAAACATCTGCATTGTATATGATGATGAGCCTTTCAAGTTACAGGAAAAGCACTTCTAATATGACTAGAGGATAAGATCATTCCACTTTGGCTAGTAGTACTGAACTTGTTCTAGCACATAATGGAAGAATTATTTTCTTTGTGTATGAGGAAGAACCATTTGATAGGAGGTGAATGACAAGGTTTAGGCAGTCTAGGGTAAAGTGTATCTTCCAGCGAGGTCACGATACTAAATACTATTTGTGTGTCTAGAGAAAATCTTCTAAAAATTTAAATGGTGATGAGCTGTGTGGTTTGCCTTCCTGAGTCTGTATTTTAGATTTATAAGTCATGTAACTGAACATACATATTCAAAACTGCTAATGCTGGTTTGGAATAAATATGTAGTACTTGCTGGGGTGTAATATTACATGTGTTTGTGTATTGTTACTTTATCACTAGTCATTTGTAAATATTTAAGAATGAGTTGATTTCAAAATGTTGTATCATAGGTCACATTTTCTTGTTGGGAATTTGTAAGTTTCGGAGATCTAGTCCTCAAATAGAATGCTCTTGAAATAAAGTCTTTCATTGTGACTGAGAGGGTGGGAAGGAGTGGGGAAAATTCTGTCTACGCATTTCTGTTGTGAAACGACTTTTCTTCGTGCTGCTAGTGAATTAATGTTGGAGTTTATTTTTAATTAGATGTATATAGGCAGTAATTTTTGATGGAAAACAACCTTTTATTAAAACAAAAAGAAAGTTGGAAAACTTTGTATGCTTCTAAAATATGCCCAGTTAAGCTGATGTTCTCTAACTACGCTCTAGGTACGAACGTGCAAGCTTCCTCAGGTTCCTTAGGTTTGTCTTCTAACACTTTTGGGTTCTGTTACGTGCTCCCATTGGTGTGAAAATTGTGCAGGCACAAGCAGTAGTTGTCCCAGGGTGTTTTCATCTGAATGCACAAAGTGGAGAAACAGTAGAAAGGTGGTTGTTGTCAAAGTATCCAGCTGTGCAGGTAGAAAAGGTTACCGTGTTGAGCTGCTTGTCATAACCCTTCTGCCACTAGTTGCAGCTCTGAGTCTGTTGCTAGCATAATTCTTGTGGCTGTTCATACTTCTCTTGAGGCCAGGCCAGAAGACGAACTTGCGAGAAGCCTGTTTTGTTTTATTAGCTAAACTGCTCAAATTTTGCTTGAAGCAACCCACAAACCTGCTGTGCAGACCGTGCCTCTAGATGGTCCTTCACTCCTATGGCAGACTTAAAATTTTGAATGCAATGAGAAGTTTTAGAAGCAAGTGTCTATATAAGCATGCACACACACACATACACATTCACAAATACATATATATACACACATACACTCTCTGTCCAGAACAGCTTATGTTTTATAAAGCTTTCAGGGATTCTTGATATTTTATATAACGAGAACAGCAGTGAATTAGCTACTGAAGAGAAGCATTCTTACAAACGTCTTCCTTAGCTATATCATTGAATAGCAAATCTAGAAGATCCAGATGCATGGTCTTCATGGAATGCTGACCACGTAGCTTTAGTGGTTGTAGCTATCTGAAATTGGCAGATAGATTTTGCACATTACATAGCTTTTAGTGCATCTAATTGAGTAGGCTTTTCATTTCTGATCATTACCTGGTCTTCAGAAGGAAATTGGCATGAAAGCCTAATCCCTTTCTACTGAAAACTTGAAAGCATTTCTTTGATACCATACTTATTTGCTAAAATGAAAGAAAGAAAAAAAAAAAAGCAAAAACGAAACCAAAAAACTGCTAGTAATGCTTATTTATTTTCTACCTGTCTTAGTTCTTTTCCTTTTTTCCCTCATTTTAGTAATTTAAATGGGATCGGCATTTTCAGAGTTGTTACATGAAGCTCTCATTTTCCTCACTTGTTGTTTTCTTATGTCATCTCTGCCACCTGCTTGGGAAGATGTGTTGATTATACCTGGAACTCATTTTAGTGTTTCCATTTCTCTTAAGGTGATGTTTCTGACTTTTTAATGATTACTGTATTTTTTTTTAATATACTTTGTCTCAACTTGTGTGTTTGGTTGTTGTTGGTTTTTTTGTTTTGTTTTGTTTTTTGAGTGCTTTTTACATTTACTTTGAGTGTAGTGGTAACAGAATCATCTTTATGAGGTTGTGTCAAAATTGAGCTCTTCTTGCTGTATAGCTGCTTGCATTGCTATACTGCAAGAGTAAGCATGTGCTGTCTCTAATCTTGTTCGTAGTAATGTTTTTGTCAACCAAGGACTTCTGTCATTCAGGGAAGAGACTTTTTAAAAAAATAAGAAAAAATTTTCAGACCATGCAGACTGAGTTTTATTGACATACAGCAAATTTACCTGGATTTGTACAAACAAGCTAACTGTAGTAGCCTTCTGCTGTCACATCCATGCAGCCAGGTGCAAAGCTCTAGAATTAATATAAAAAGTGCTTAATTTCCAATAACTTCATCCAGTATCATTTTTATCAACATAGACTTCTTCACAGAATCACAGAATGGCCAGGGTTGGAAGGGACCTCAAGGATCATGAATCTCCAACCCCCCTGCCACATGCAGGGACACCAACCTCCCCATTCAATACTAGACCAGGTTTCCCAAGGCCCCATCCAATCTGGCTTTGAACACCTCCAGGGATGGGACATCCACAACCTCTCTGGGCAGCCTGTTCCAGCACCTCACCACTCTCATAGTAAAGAACTTCCCCCTGACATCCAACCTAAATCTTCCCTCCCTCAACTTAAAACCATTTCCCCTTGTTCTGCTGTTATCTACCCCTTCAAAGAGTTGACTCCCCTCCTGTTTGTAGGCTCCCTTTAGGTACTGAAAGGTTGCAATGAGGTCACCCTGCAGCCTTCTTTTCTCCAGACTGAACAAGCCCAGCTCCCTCGCCTGTCTTCGTAGGGGAGGTGCTCCAGCCCCCTGATCATTGTTGTGGCTCTTCTCTGGACCCTCTCCAACAGCTCTCTATTTTTTCCCCTTCTTTACTACTGCTCTTAATTTCTTCCATCTTTTCAGTGGTGAGAAATGGGTATGTGTATGTAAATGTTATACTATGTTTTTCCTGTATTTCCAAGTGCTTGGAACATTTTCCTATAGACAACTACAAAATAGACTTACTAGAAAGTCTACATAAGGTTCCTTTAACCAGTTGAGTTGGTGTGCTCCAAGATACATGGGTGAATTTAATGGTGGCTTCAGGTGAGATGGAGAAAGGTGATTCTGTGTCTTCCTATGTTTCTTACACTATGCTGATTTATGCCTATCTTGAGGTTATCCGTGCATTCTCTGTGGCTACTTTATAATCAATTGTTGTAATACTGAAAGTCACTGACTTTATTACTATGATCAATTTAATATTTATTAAAGGAGAAATTAAATAGGTTTCTACAAACATTTCATACCTATTCTGATATAGTTCACTTGAATAAGAATGATAGATTTCTGTTATCTGCTCAGCCATTACATTTTTTAATTTCCTCATGACTCTTAGAGAGATGGTGACTTACTGTCAATTAATCATTTTTATCTTCTCTTCATTAGACATGTCAGCCCTGGCAGTAGATAATCTTAGTTTATCTCAAACTTATCTTTTGCCCGCATCCAGTGTGGGAAGGACTGTTGCAAAGAAATCTATTTTTGCCTTTTCAGCTATTATTACCATCTGATGTTAGTACTGAATTTAATTGCACTCTTACATTTTGTGCACCAGCTCTTAAGTTTTTTATTATTATTTTAATACATTTTCCAATCTGATACTCTTTGTTTTCCTAAGATTTTTTTTTTTTTTTAATCTGTTGGCACCTTCTCTATTTTCTGTTTCTTTACAATTCACTTTTTTTTTCTGGGATATGCTTATTTGGCCTGTGTAACGTCATGAAAATGTTACCATTTAGGCATAACGGCTCTTTTCTTCCCTGGTTTCCTGTGCCCTTGCCTTGTGAAGTGGTAGATATAACTTCTGTAACTTTGGACTCAGCTGGGAGCTAAACATGCAGCTTCTAATTTCCTCTCTTTTCTTGAATTGAGGATTTTGTGTACTGACAATGTTTTAATCCCCATTTCTGAAACTTAACAACATGGTACTTGTTTTGACAGGATTTCTTCCATGAGTGTGGTGAGCTCATCTACATTATGGCCACTGTTGTGTTTAGTGATGAACTAACATAAATGATAAGCTGGCTTTCTGACTTAGAACTAAGATTGCTGGAGAATGAGTAGAGGAAAAGCTTGGTTTCTTATTTCCAGATGAAGAAAACACAAGGAATCCAAAATGTCCCTTGTCACATCTCGTCATGGTTCAAAGAGTAAATTAAAATGTACAAGCCTTTGGTCAAATCAGATTCCTCTTGCATTTGGTGTGGTGTTTCCCTTATTTCCATCTCTAAGCAGCATTAACTGGACTCTTCCCCCTTTTCCACATTAACTCTGTGATTCCTGTTTGGTTTCTGAGATTTTCCTGGATAAAAAATTCGTAGTGATTTCTTCCTTCTTTCTTTTGTTCTTCTCCTTTCAACAGCGACATACAAACTTCTCAAGGCTTGTTAGATTTTATTTTCCATTAGGAAAAGATTTCTCGTTCTC